TATTGCCTTTGGAACTGGTTTCCTATGTGATTGTGTTCGGCTGCCTGGATTTAAGGACCCATGAAGGGATATATCCTGTCTGACATGGTCTTCAGGTCTTTACACGAACCTTCCCTAAGCCAGGGGTGGCACACCACGGCCCACAGGCCAAAGCTGGTTGGTCACCTGCTTTTGTGTGGCCTGTGAGCTGAGAATGATTTTGATGATTTTTAAATGATTGGAAAAAATAAACAGAAGACGACTATCTCCTGACACGAGAAAATCATATGAAATCCATATTTCAGTGTCTGTAAATGAAGTTTTATTGGCACACAGCCATGACATAATACAGGTGTGCATACGTGTATGGTCCATGGCTGAGTTGAGTAGTTAGGAGAGAAATGGATGGGTTGCAAAGCCTGAGCTATTTACTGGGTGGCCCTTCACGGGAAAAGTTTGCCAACCCTGCCCTGAACAAACAAAGGGCAGACTCCATGGCCCGTCCATCTGTGGAATGGAGCGAATGGCAGGGAGTGCCGGGAAGCCGCTTTGGAGTTTATCAAGGATGTGGAGTTTCCTGGCAGTCCGCGTCATTATCATCATCGCTGTCCTTTGAATTGTCCTGTTTGTTTGGAAAATAAGTTTGTACCAAGACCTCAGCAGCCCTCCGATGGCGGGTTCTCTGATCAGCCCCTTCTCGCTACCCTTGCTACCCAATCCGGATCCACACAGATGGAGGTGCTTCATGAGAGCAGGTTCTCCCAGGCCCACTTGAACCTGATCTCGGAGACGCCTTCTGATTTGGGAGATCCATCCCCATGTGCCTTTCCTATTCCTTTTCTTTTTAAATTGGAGTTGGAGGAGGAGAAATGCGAGATGTGTGCCTTTCTCTTTTTGCTGACAAATTTAACAGGCTTTTAAATAGCCTTGATTCCTGTCAGGCCAATGGTATTGTGTATATTTTGAGACTTTGTCCCCAGGTCCAAAAGCTTAACTTAAGCTCCCCAAGACGTATCATAAAATATGATTTTGGGAAAAACTCTAATGGGCCACGAGCAGAACGTTATTATTAAACAAAGGATGAAATGCTTAAGCTGAGATGGCTATTTTTTTTTTTTCTTCTTCTCCTCAAAATGAAAGTCAAGCAGACTCCATTTCAACAGTTTTCGATGCAGGAATTCCCACAGCCCCATTTGATTGCAGTTTGTTGAAAAGTTTAATGTTTTTATAGGCAATTCATAATTTCCATGTTGAGCAGCCTAAAAGGAAGAGAGCTGGAGCCCAGTGTTGTTTTTATAGTGGGACGGTGGGAACTTTTTTTTTTTCTTCCCCCCAAAGGATATAAAACCAAAGTGGAACCGTTGGGAAAACGTGGCGTGGCTTTCCAGCCGGTTCTTGAGTCCCAGATGCTCCTTTCTTTCAGGTCTTCCTTTAGGACCCAGCAGAGTAAATAGAATTTCCTGCTGCTTAATGTCTCCAGGAAGGAAAAGATTTTCCTCGGGGCTCTAATAGTACCCAATTTCCCTTTTCTTCCCTTTATTTATTTATTTTCTCTATTAATAAGGACCAATTGTGGAAGATGAAGAGACCTGGGAAATCCATCACTTTTGGAGGAGGTTAATAACTTCCTTTCAAAAATCCCGACATAATACTCACTTCCCCACAAGGAACCTCGTCAGCCCGAATGCCAGTTAAGATCCAAGGGATGGGCGTGGGTTTGCGGGGATCCAGCCGTTCTGTGGGATCAAGTTGCATTGGGCCCAAGAGGTTGGGGCTGTCACTGGGGCGTCCCTGCAAGTTGTCGGGACTGGGGCCGTCTTCCTTTGCCATCTGGATTTGGTTAGCTCTCTCTGGGCAGCGGGGCGAGTCTCATTTCCTCCAACCAGTAATGTTATATAGGCAGTGATCCTGGGCTGCCCTAACATAATTGAAAATTATGTGTATTGTAGGCTCGGAGCGCTGAAATGTAGGCTCATAAAAATATGTGGTGCAGGTAGCCCGCGGAGATTGGATATGGCACACAATGAAGCTTTTATGTAAAGGAAGAATGATAAGTCTCCGCATTAATGTTGCATTATGGGTATGATAATTCTTGGGTGGGGTCCTCAGGGCAGGTCTGTCATGTTAAATAAAGCCTAGATTTCCTAATCCTGGGGAGCTGGTCCTTGGGATGCAATCAAATCCGTTTCGCAGAAGGCCAAAGATGAAAAGGTGTCCATTAATCGATCCTTCCCCATCGAGTGTAGCAGGAGATGTAGGTGTGTGGTAGATTCCGCTGGGCATTTTTCTTCACGGGTTTTTACGAGATGGAGGGGTGAGTGTTGGCAGGTGTCCATTTCGGTCGGCCTCAAGGAAATGACTCTGCTGAGTGGTTTTGACCAATGAGGCCCATATATTTATGTGGCAAGTGAGAATGGGCGAAGTCAGGATGAGACAGGGCAGAAGCGATGCCCACAGCCCTCTAGCTTGGGCTATAGGGCAGAGGGAGACCATGGAAACATTTCAGTGGTTCTCAACTTGGGATGGTACTGCTCCCAAACGAGGTATTGGAAACGGTTTGATTATAAGGGTGACTGAGGTGGGGGGTGGGGGGTGCCTGCTGGTATTTCCTGTCTGGAGGCCCAGGCTCCTAGAAGTCTTTCACCCGCCCCACCACAGAGAGGACCAGCCCTCTAGTCCAGTGATGGCGAACCTATGACATGCGTGTCAGAGGTGACACGCGAACTCATTTTTTTGGTTGATTTTTCTTTGTTAAATGGCATTCAAATATATAAAATAAATATAAAAAATATAAGTCTTTGTTTTACGATGGTTGCAGATATCAAAAAATTTCTATATGTGACACGGCACCAGAGTTAAGTTAGGGTTTTTCAAAATGCTGACACGCCGAGCTTAAAAGGTTCGCCATCACTGCTCTAGTCGATAGATAAAACCTGGAGGTCCTTGGAGCAAAGGCATTTGATGCAAGGTCTTGGGGCAATTGACCAGCACCAGCAACCGAGCTTCCTGTGCACAGGATGCTGCTAGGTAAACACTCTGAAGAGGAATCTCTCCATCCTCAGCTTGGGAGAATGACTGTGTACTTGAGCAGGTGACTCCTGGGTTAGTATCTTCCAGCTTTAGGTGGAACTGAGTTGGGTTTTCATTCTCCAGACGGTTGTGTCTTTGAGGAACCCACGGAGAAGCGTGTGGGTGGCTTTGGCCCTCTTCTGTCACATGGGGTTTGAGCGAACCCTTCCTTCTTTCTGGACTGCCCTTTGCTGTCCTTTCTGTTGAAATCTTTTCGGTGCGGCTGGCCCCGTTCTCTTTCTCAGAAATGCCACCTTCTTCTTGGCATTCCCCGGGCATGATTTCCCGGGTCTCGGCCACCGCGTCCCCCGTTCTCGCTTGGCTTGTGGAGGAGTTGGCTCCCTCCTGCATAAGCCCCCTGAGGGCGGCATGTTTGTCTCTGTGATGCACCAAGCAAGCTCTAATTGGTGTTCACCGAGTTCCATTTCCTGTAGGATTAGTATTAAAACTAGCCTTTTTTTCTTTTTGCTAGAGGTTTCTGAAAAGATCAAGATGGCTCCTTATATATCCTCCAACATAACCCCTGCCTTAATCAATTGGCCTTTGGAGGTACGAAGGCTGGTATCGGTGTCCTTATTAAAATCGGAGCAGTGTCTAAGTTCTGTTTGGTGGCCTGAAGTTTTCCTGAGTGAAACTGCTGTACTGTCACCAACAAAAGTCAAATGCGTGCTTGTGCTAAAAGTTTCAGTGACCAGACAGGCCACCTTACCTCAGTTTCCCTATCTGCCCAGTGGGGAGTTGGATCAGTTGATGGTGTACTTCCCCCTGAAAGCTGGCCATGTCACTTTTGATAGAAGCAGCTCCCCTCCCTTGCACTGTGTATTCATTTTCTACCTCAGACAAGGGTGGAGATAGACATATTGGCTTCTGTCTTTATCTTGCTCTCTGTGGTAAACCTGTATGCATTTAAGAATTCCTCCAACCTTTTGAGTTGAAGGTATAAGTTGTATTGTGCCGTGTTTATGCATGTTTTACCAAAAAATACAGGATGTCCCCCCAAAATGTATACACAGTTTTGAGTTGAAGGTATAAGTTGTATTGTGCCGTGTTTGTGCATGTTTTACCAAAAAATACAGGATGTCCCCCTAAAATGTATACACAGTTTGAGTGATTATGAAGTCAGTGTTTATTAACATACAGTTCATTTTCAAAATTAAGTGAGTTATCAGCTGTTAAAGTGTGTATCCATTTTTGGGGGAACACCCTACATTTTTGTTCTGGAGGAGGAATTCCCTCCTCACCTTCCTTGAGTAACTTCCAGCCGGGGACAGTTCCACACGTATCCTCAGCTTCTTCCACGCGAAGGAGGAGGGCGTTTTAGAAATGTGTTCCTGAAAGAGAACATTCAGAGTTGATGGTCTCTTGGGACACTGGCTGGAGACTCCACTTGCTTTCCTCCACCGGGAGATCTCTGTGTCTCTTCCCACCCTCCGTCTCGCTCTTCCCACCCTCCTTCTAAGTGAGGTGTAGTGTTGATGAGGTCATTTTGTCTGAAGCTACCTATAGCTTGATGGGTAATAATATTGATGTTGTATACATGTACCTATTGAACATGAACTCTAAGGAAGAACCTGTGGGTGTTGGATGGTTTTTTGTCATTGATGTTGTTATTCACATGCTCTAAGTTTTTCAGTTTCTGATCCATGTGTCATGAACCCCAAGAGTTATCTCTCAGGGCAGCTGTTTTGCATTTCTCTGCTATGTTTATTTTCTTTTTACCCCCTTATTTATTTATTTGATCTTTATTGTTGAAAGTATTACATATGTCCCCCCTTTCCCCCATTGAC